TTACTGGGCTCCAGAATATTACGCTGCACACAGGTAGCGTGTAATTAATCTAGATTAAAATAAAATAAAAAAAATATAATAATCAAAAGATGATTTGTATTATTATTGAGTTTAGGATATACAAGTCAGGTCATCCTTGATATCATTTTTAAAGCTTCAAAGTCCTGGACCCCATTGCATTTCATTATTTGGACAAAAACAGCTGAAACCTTCTCCAAAATATCTGCTTTTGCGTTCTACAGAAAGAAAGAAAAAAGTCACAAATTTGGAGCAACATAAATGATGACTGCATTTTCATTTGGAGTGACAATTCCTTTAATGTATATTTGGATAGTATTAAATCGTTGTGCATTTATTTTTTATTTCTTAGAGTGAGACGGGGTGTTGCCTAGGGTGCCAAATGGGGACAGACCAGCAGTAATGCTAAACTGTGTAAACAAGCTAAGCAGACTTTGCTCTACCCTCCCTTTTCTAGTCAACCAAAAACGTGTAGCACATGTGTGGTCATATTATAGCACATGTAAGCCAAAGGCGTCTCCTAAAAAAATAACATGTCAGGGGCATATCCTTACCCTCTAAATAAACAAACATGTCAAGCGTTTTCATATGTGCAGAGAAAAATTAACACACTGAATAATTTAACACACTGATTATGAACATATCCAATATTTTCACCAGCCCACCAACTGGGATTTGAGTAGGGAGGGAAGACAAATATTTAGGTATCAGAGTCTTGGAAGTAATGACAAATGCCTTAGTCAGATGGGTAACTGAGGTAAATATTAGAGTGATTAAGGGTCTTCTCATGATTTCACCAGATTTGTTTCTGATAAAAAGTTGTTTCTGAATATTTACATGAAAAACACATTGTAAAAAGTAAAAATACAAGTTTTGTTAGATACATTTATTTAGGTTTGGTCCATACATTTAATTCTTTATGTCAAATATATTATTAAAGAATCAACTTTGCTTCTTTAAGCCACTTTCACTGTATTTCCTTTATCTATTCCAGATTGCCAGCAGTTTTACAACATTGTGCCCTACTCTAAGTTCTGCCTGGCTCTCATATTAAAAATTAATTTTGGCTGGTAACTTTTTCCAAGCGGCTCCTAATGCTATACTTCTTCCCTGCAGCTGGCTGCCCCCATCCCACTTTTTCTGCAGTGTCAAAATAAATGTTATCAAATGTAAAAAAAACAGCTATGTTTGCAGGACCTAAACATACATTTGTTTAGCTGTGCATTTAATGAATACTGTGCCACTGTTTGCTCTGTATTTTATTGTGCTGAATAAATAATCTTGCCTTGCCTTACAGTGGAAATCAATATAGGGCCTATATCAATTTGGTAAGACAGTAGGCATAGGGCTGTTTATTAGTCCCAGACCATCCTTGCTTAACATGAGTCATTTTACGGGTCATGTGAGATACTGTAGGAATAGTCCTTCCTGCACACTTTTACTTATTAGGATATATGAATGACAAATACCAAGCTTTAACAACTTAGAAATAAAATCTTCATCATGTTTATTTTGCATTTTGCAGATTATATATATATATATATATATATATATATACATAATGTACTTTCTCTACAAAGTATTTAATTCATCCTTCCTAATCCTCCCTCCATCCTTTGGCCTAATTCCTCTTCCACCTGATCACTGTATTCCAGCAATCAATACTTTAAAGAATCATTCAAAGCAGTTCTTTATCAAAGCATGCTAATCAGGAGCACAACTCGGTCCGGCAAACATCTGTGGATTTTCCTGTCTAATGTTCCGCTCAATCAAACATTACAGGGGAAGTGAAAGACAAAAAGGATCAAAAGAAAAGGGAGGATGAAGAGAAAATGGGATAAAGAGAAAAGAGACACGTCCAGCCTGGAGAAGAAGCATACTTCAGTATTTGGACAAAACTGCAAAGTTGCAATTGCTCTTATGTCATTCACTCTACGAATACAACAAAGACAACAAAGATACAAATTCTGCAACAAAGTCAAGAGGAAAATGTGTTTGCTCCGAAGTTGCTCTTTAGTAGCTCAGAAGACTTTTTAGTTATCTTGGTTATGTTTCATTCAAATATCAACATTGTCTCAGATTTTTATACAAATAAAACATACAAATAGCTTATAAATAAATAACTATTTATACACAGTAAGATCTAAAAAAAAAAATAAAGGTATCGCTCTGATAATTTGAACTTGATAAATATTTTGAATTTTGAGTTCTAGACCTTTGTGTCTTGGGCAAATGTGGGCAAAGTTTGAGAAATTCTATATACATATTTTAAAGTTTTACTAGTTTACAGTTTTTATTAAGGTCTTGTTCTAAATCAATTACATTGTCAATGAATTATAGTTTGTTGCTCACATAATGCAAGACACCTTTCTTACATTAAATATATAAAATCATAACTGGGAATTGCTCATCTTGTTACTGAACACTGGAGTGGAATAACATAGTAACTGTCTGAGCAGAGGATATGGTCCTCGGCTCACTTCTGGTGTGTGTGTGTGTGTGTGGTCTCCAGACCAAAAGTCTACCTTCCAACCCTCCAAAGCCCCTCTGTAGACTGAAAAGGGTGTCTCAAAGGGCAAAGCAAAGTGGAGCACTTAAAAAAAAAACACACAAAAAAAACACTGTAGACACAAAATACAATCCAAATAAAACACGACTTAGTGATTAAAGCCAAAGTGGACATGTTGGTCGAAACTCCACATCCGTCGCACTGTTAACCAGCCAAGACTAAAATTCAGTTTGTTTTAACAATTAATAGATTATATCACCAAATAATCAAAATATATAACAGTATATTTGGTGTGTCTATATGGCATGGAAGATAATGAAAGTAAAATACTGTAATTTGATTTGAAATATGCAGTGGAGAGGAAGATTTTCAGTGGACAATGACTTAAATTGCAGTCTATTCCACACATTTAGATATCATAAGAAGACCTGGAATATGATACACAAGTCATATAGTCAAATAGAGTTTTACAGTGCTTTTGAAGCTTTAGACTACAGACAGACTAAAAACTGTTACTGTGTGGAAAAGAACTGTGTGAAGATCCTTCAACATTCTCAGTTCCATAAAATTTAGCACACAGGCATTGGAAGCAATTCAAAATTGTCTTTATTCCTTTAAGGACAAGGACAAACTTAAACCATTGTGATGTTATTTCATTTGACTAAACATCAAGCCTAATGAAACCACAGCACATCTGCTTTCTGGAGTGTATTTGGGTTGCTGGTGTGCGGTGTTAAGTTCTTTAGCGGTAGGGGTTAATGGAGAGGGGGGGGGGGAAGGGTGAAGACTGGTTGTCTGTGGTTCATGGAGGGCCGCTCACAGGCTGAAAGGGGGCATTGTGCTGTTAAGGGGAGGGAAGAGGAGAGGGGCCAGTGGGTAAAGCTTAAACACTCGTCTGCTCCATTCTAAATGGGCTGTGGTTTGGGGCCTGGCGCTGTGGTCTTGCCTGGCCCCTTACAGTCGCCATAGAGACAATACCTGAGTAGCATTGCTGAGAGAGAAGAGAGGCAGAAAGAAATAAGCTGTTTGTTCAAACTCTCTATTCTCTTCATCTCTTCACAGGCTGTTAATTCTGCACTTAGCTTGTCAAGATGCAGGCAGAGAATGTGGACCTTCTCCAGAGCTGGTTTTATTCTTTGCTCCACTGGGCAGAAAGAAGAAAAAACAGACGTCTCTTTTTTGGAAATGACTAATTAAATTAGCAAGTGTTAAACACATATGACCATATTTTCAGTCCATTTGTTTAGATTGCAATCATTTGTAGAAAAGAAGAGGAAGAAGAAGAAGAAAAAAAACACTGTCACATTAATTTCTCCTATAGAAATCAAATGAAAGGATTCTGTACAATTTTGAATAGTTTCTTGAATATTGTGGCATGTCATTTCAATAATGACCAAATCAAGAGTTGTTGTTTTTTTGGCTTGTGCTTTATTTATGTACATTTGTTCTGTCAGAAAATCCCTTAGGAGTTTGAATGTTTCAGGCCCAGGTCCTCTGAGAGAGTTTTTATTTAGGAATTTCATTCTGGTTCGTCTTTCCCAGGTTGATGTGTCAGTTTGGTGTATTATGATAAATTCAGCACAGGTGTCACCTCCGCTGAGGCAGGTGAGAATTGATGTGCTGCAGACAAAGGCCATCCATCAGCTCTGTGTATCGGGATTTGAAGAATCTGTTCCCAATCACGCCCTGCTGTTAGGCAGCGTGGTAACGACCGCTTTCTGTGCAACGCCACAGGAAATCAATGCCAGGTACTCAAGGTCAATGTCCTGTTGGAAAGCTACTTAAGCCCTCATGGATGGATTTCGCTCCAAGGGAAGTTGGTAGAGGAAACATGACAGGAGAAAGCACAACGACCCATAACACAAATGATACACTAAAATATTGAATTGTACATTTGTACCCACACATCTCTCCAATTAAGGCCATTGTCAGGGTGGACAACCAGGCAAGTTGTCCTAGAAAGGGGGTGGACTCCTGTTGTACTGGGCCCTGTGATAAGGTGGCCAACATAAAGATATTGTGCACAGTGCCATGCTCAAGTGACTGACTTGCCATTAATATTTGGTAAAGCCTCCCCTGGAAATGCTAGGAAGAGTTTCTTTGACTTTGTCAAGTGTACTATTGAAGAGATCTTTGACCTCTAGTAGAGTTAGGGATATGGTTAGTAGAATAAGTTGACATGCGCAGTACTTGTGTGGCATCACAGACTCGGGATCATTGAATAATAAAGCTAAATATCAACTACGCCACCCCAGAATACTGGGGACTAACCGCCCTTAGGACGCACATGTTCGTTATCATGTGGGCAAAGAGACATGGGTGAGTCACATGTACAAAAATAAGTAATTTTATTTCTCATATGCATTCACATAATAAATAGTTAAAAAGATCACCATAAATCTCAGGATCAACTTCACAGTAACCCATCTGTATCAATCACAACAATATACCCAGTTGACCAGAGTGGTGGTACCTGGCACTCGATCCCATTAGATACACCGGGGGAGCCCTCAGATATGCCGATAACCCTGCCGAACATAACAAGGTTAATAAAAGTAACATAACTAAGGTCGACACGGACATAATGATACATACCAGACAGATGTAATTGGCCCATTCATGGCCACGCGCCACGTAGGCATACAGATGCTCAGTCGGGAACATGCCGCTGTAAATGACAGGCTATAAATATCTCGCTGAGAGCAGCAAGGTATAACTCACACGTAACCAAACTAACGTTACCTGAGACGGATCGGCGGTCCTTAGACGGCCACGGATGAAAGTTTCATCCGACGCCGCCAAAGTACACATCCGGTCGCCCCAATCCCCTTCCTTTATACGCCATCCCACGGCGGCCACTCAACTACACGCACGTGCACGCTCTCAGTAGGTGGAGTTCATCCACCCTGCTACACTTGCAAAGTTAGAAGGGAGGCGGCGACATGAAAACTTTGGGCCGAACCCGAAAATTCTGGATGCACTTGGCCGAAAACTGAAAAATGACTTTAAAAAAAAAAACATTATTAATTTCTTACTTTTTTTATTATTTATACTTATATTATATTATTATTATAAAATTTTTGAATGAAATTCAACAATTTCAATAAAATGAAAAAAACAAAAACAAATCTCAATAAAAAAAGGGGCGGCTGAAGGTGGCGAAGACGGCCGGCTTCCTCGGACTCCTAAAACACTTGCTAGAGATACCTTCTCGACGGCGATGGCTTCTTTTCATAGTCAGCAGATGCGTGTAGCCACGCTGAAGAGATGAAAATCAGTGAAACAGCTGACAGCTGACTTGGGTTTTTATACTCTCGGGCCACGCCCGTTTTGGCGGGATTTGACGCAATGAGAGCGTGTCAGCCTCTCATTGGCCGCGAGTCCAGCCAAGTCCTCTCATAGGCTGTAGCAGTTCTCTCAGAGTGAACCAATGAGCTGCTAGCTAGCCCGGTCATGGTCTGCTGCTGGTGAACTGCGTTGACAATGGATACCCAAATTATAGGATCATTTTTTGGCTTCAACTTCCCGGAAAAGATTAATTTTTCCCGTAGCGTAAGCTAGCTTAAGCAATACTCGTTCCCTCATCTAGAGAGAACCGAGGTTACGTTTTCGTTAATAACGCGTTTAACTGACAGTCCTAATACATACATACCAGCCCGTTCTCATCCTTTAACGTCATATAGAACGCTATATGCAAAAACGGCGCTATACTACGCACATGGCACCCTTTATCGTTAATATAACACGCGAACCCAAGACGTTATAAATCCTTTAGCGTGAATATGACACGCACACCCTACCCCACACCTAAACTTAGCCCTCACAGCACGTGTTATATTAACGATAACGGGTGCCATGTGCGTAGTATAGCGCCGTTTTTTCATATAGCGTTCTATATGACGTTAAAGGATGAGAATGCGTTGTACATACACACATATATATATGAAGAGTTCAGATGCAAAAGCCTCTAAATGCCATTTGAAATTTTCATCTTTAATGATGATTTTTCAGTAATTTCACTTAAATAACCCAACTTCAGTAATTTCACTTAAATAACAATTAATAGATAATTATCATTTCTATTTAAGTGAAATTACTGAACTTAAATATACAAGTTTGTTAAAAATCATCATTAAAGAAGAAAATTTCAAATGGCATTTAGAGGCTTTTGCATCTGAACTCTTTATATATATATATATATATATATATATATATATATATATATAAGGGCTGGTCCCTGGATGGACGCACTCAGTGCTATATATATATATATATATATACACACACAGTATAGACCTTATGCACCAGAGAAACAAGGGCGCCGCCATCTTTAGAATATTGTCTTTGAACTTCCTGTTTTGCGGTTTCTCTATATATCTCTATGGCATTGCTGTCCAGGAGTAATTCGCTTTGAAGTGGATTTACTTAATGTGAAGTTAACGAAAGTTATCATGAGTGTTGTAATGTTTAAAGCCATTGTGTCTTAACAAATGTCAGTAGACCGGGAAGATTTTAAAATGAGCCGTTCATTCGCAAGATTGCTGTGAATATACAGACCAGAAGACAAAAGACGAGCGCAGTGCTGAAAAGGGGCGGGGCTACATAAGGTCTATGCCATGAGATATGTAGGTTACACTCTAAAAACTGCAGGGTTAAAAAAAAAACCTTAACCACACTACTGGGTCACTATTGGACAGAACAAGCGCCATCTTGCTGGGTTAAGTCTTCCTCATGTTCTGGGTTATTTCCTGTCTCATTGCCTTATTAAAATTAATAACAAATATTTTATATATTACAATAAATAATTATTGTCTCTCTCTGTAATACAATAAACCAGAGAGGCCACTATACAATTTCATTTTTGGGTAACACTTTAGAATACGGTTCCTTCGTTAATGAATAACTACACAAGAACTAATGAGTAACACAATATTAACAATCTAGTAACTATTATTAACTAACAAGAAACTCTGATTAACGAACTAGTAAGTAATAGCGCACAGACGAAAGTGGTAGTTCACTATTAAGTAATCAATAACTACTATTTTTTTAATACTTCCCAGAGAACTACTGAAAAAGTTTATTAACAATCTAGTAACTACTATTAACTAAAATAAACTCTTATTAACGAATTAGTAAGTAATAGTTCACAGATGAAAGTGTTACTAGATACTTCTGTGGGAATTACTAATTATTTGGATTCGTATTATAAAGTGAAAATCATTGGAACTAACTAGTAATTACTAAAGTATTACTAAAGACATTTTCTAAAAGTTACTAAAGTTCACCAAAAAATCTCAAACGTTTGCACAAATCATGACTAGATCATGTAGTAACACTTGAGTCATTACTAGTTAGTTCCAATGATCTTCACTTTATAATACGGATCCAAATAATTAGTAATTCCCACAGAAGTATCTAGTAACACTTTCATCTATGAGCTATTAATTACTAATTATTTGGATCCGTATTATAAAGTGAAGATCATGGGAACTAACTAGTAATTACTCAAGTGTTACTAAAGACATTTTCTAAAAGTATACTAAAGTTCACCAAAAATCTCAAACATTTGCACAAATCATGACTAGATCATGTAGTAACACTTGAGTAATTACTAGTTAGTTCCAATGATCTTCACTTTATAATACGAATCCAAATAATTAGTAATTCCCACAGAAGTATCTAGTAACACTTTCATCTGTGAACTATTACTTACTAATTTGTTAATAAGAGTTTATTTTAGTTAATAGTAGTTACTAGATTGTTAATAAACTTTTTCAGTAGTTCTCTGGGAAGAATTAAAAAATAGTAGTTATTGATTACTTAATAGGGAACTACCACTTTCGTCTGTGCGCTATTACTTACTAGTTCGTTAATCAGAGTTTCTTGTTAGTTAATAATAGTTACTAGATTGTTAATATTGTGTTACTCATTAGTTCTTGTGTAGTTATTCATTAACGAAGGAACCGTATTCTAAAGTGTTGCCCATTTTTGTATACTCATTCTAAGGTAAAAAAAACAAAAAAACAAAAAAAAAAACATAATGGTTCATTAAATTTAAGGTCTTTATTACACTGAAAACATAGGCTTTTCTGTTAACAGATCCTCCTAGATATTGCACAATGCTCCTTTAAAAGTCATTAAGCAACTCGTTTGAACTCTTAAACGATTATGATTTCATTTATTAAGATGTGTTGATTTATTAAGAATATCAACAAACATTTAAAATGCGACTAAATACATTTATGCCAGCCCATTCTCACTCCCAAGGCGTCACCCAACTGACGCCTTGGGAAGCATTTGACCATGCTTCAATATCTGACGCTTTAGGCGCCCTTTAGCGTCAGTTAGATGACGCCCTAGGATCGCGTGTACCCTACCCCCACCCCATACCTAAACCTAACCGCGTCCTCTAACTGACGCTTTCCTTTAGCGTCAGTTAGATGACGCCGTAGGATCGCGTCATGTAAGTGACGCTAAAGGGCGCCTAAAACGACAAATATTGAAGCATGGTCAAAGGTGACGCCTTGGGGTGAGAATGTGTTGTTTATGCATAGGCCGAAAAAAAACCTGTTCTCCTCAAATTTAGTGATTCAGTGATTTAGTGATTTGTTAGTGATTCACAATAAGACAAAAACACGATTTGGAAAATGGATTCATAATGTACTCGCTCATTATAAACATTTTGTACATTTTGAACACAAAAAAGTTATGGACTGCAGCTTTAAAAATTAACAAAATCTTGCAAACAGAGATTGCAGCTTTAAATATTCTAAACCTAAATTACTTTCATAGTTATCAAGCATCAAACGTCTACCCTTATTGAAGTAACACTAAAGCAACTTACAGGTTGCATGGCAAGGACCTCTGTGCCTCTGTGGTGGGTCAAGCATGGTCTGCATGAAGCCCTTTCCTCCTCTCCTGTAACATTAGGTGGATTGGGGAAGCAGAGTTTGCAGGACATTCAAAGCTGTCTCCAGTTTAGCAGCTAAACACTATTGACATTTAAATAGTATGCTGTTTATACAATTCATATTTCTAAAGTAGCATTTCTGACTTTTCTGCCCTGGTACATGGCACTGTTTTGAATATAGCAAAAATGATTATTTGGCCTCAAACGTCGCGCACACTTGGTCCATGACTGTAAATTATTCTTAGTAGGCCTACCTCTGGTCTTAACAACTTTTAATGGGTTTTCAGGGCGAGAACATGCTTATTATGAAATTTATTTCTCTTTCCTCAGTCTCAGTTTGTAAAACTTGCACGTCATACATTTATTTATTTATTTATTTATTTTTTTTTTGCAAAAACGATCCTGGTTCCGACATAGACATTACAGAAGAAACAAACAGACTGTCCTGAAACTTACCTCCGTCGCTTTTTCTGACGAGAATTTCTTAAAGCTGTAGTAGGGAGTTTTGAGAAAACGTTGACTTAGCCTGAAAATTTGAATGAGGACAATTTACAGGTCCCACTCTCTTGCTCTCTGCTGCGCTACAGCCCTCTCTCCACAGCTCCTCCCCCACAGTGGATAAATAGGGCCACCGATGATGGCAAATAACCAGTTATGGGCGGCACATTCACTAGTAGGGATGAAACATCAACAATATGCTTTACGTTG